TACAACATATTATTTCGATTTCTAAATAAATTAATCTAAAGTTGAAAAATTGTAACAAATATTATATTTAAAAATATTTTCGGNTTTGGTGGGTGTATCCCATAGAATAGGTAACAAATTAGTGCAAGTTTGAACTATTACATCACAATCCGATTTAATTAGTGTGTGCAGGTAATTTTAATTCTAGATTTAATAAATAAGATATAAGATTTTGTGCGGTTGAATAGGAAATTAGTTTAGACAGTTTTTTCACGTGGATGTGTGATGAAGAATGAAAAAATATTTTTGGATTGGATTTTATTAGATTAATGTATCCATTTATTTAGACGTCCATATTTTAATCACATGGTTATACTATTTTATATTTTATATCATGTTAATCAAATTACAGATTTAATCAATAATAAAATAATTGATTATACGGTTGAGATTACAAAATAAATTCCGGTACATTTGATTTAATGAGAAACAATCCTGTTAAAATAAAACTACAGTATGCAAATATCATGATTATACACGATACTTTGAATTTTTTTTTATTTTTATTTTTTTATTGCAGATGTGTTATATAGATTAGGTAAAAAATTATTGCAAGTTTGATTTATATTGTAAATATGATTATTGTATGGTTCAAATGTTCAATTTTTAATGTGGATGTATATGGAAGAATTTGAAAAAAAAATAGATTATATGGAATACAATGATATTTACTCACCTTACAGGATCCCTGAAAATGGAATTTAATCAAAAATATTATGTATCAACATATTTTATTCACACGTTTTTTAAAAATAGATTGATATGGAAAAAGACGCATCTATATCGCATAAAAATATTATGTATCAACTTATTTAAATCACACGTTTTTAAGATGCATCCATATACATGCATTAGGATTACAAAAATTTCTGATTTTTCGTTAGGTGAATATCGCTAATATATTTAACAGGATATTTGAAAACCAGTAACAAAATAAAAATTTTCTAATTTTCTTTAGATAATTATCATTGAGATATCAATCCATATATTTGAATATGTAGAATCATATTTTATAAACTGACAAACCATCTCATGCGCAAACTATCGAAGTTACTATACTCATTTTGTACAAAAATAAAGAAAAATAATATGTTGTCCCGTGAAAAACGGCATTAAAAATTTCAACCGCATGTGCAACTATTGAAAGCATTTTATGTACAAATTTTCCAAACGCTATGTCCACGCATGATTTGTATGTATAGCTAATGAGAATTTAAAATTTGAATTGTATTTCCATAATAGGTAAGTCAAAAGCTTTGACTTGTTTTTTTCAACTTTCCAAAAATGAATTTAACATCAACCTTTTTAGATATATATAGATATAGATTCAATTTATTACAATTATTTTTTAAATGTGAATATATGCTCTAAACCATATATGGTCTAGTGTGTAAATTTGCACTAATTTTTAAAAAGAATACTTTAGAAAAAAATAATATTAGAATTAATTATTGAATACTTTAAAGGATGAGAAATAATAGTATTGAGGAAAAACCGTAGAATTAACTATTGAATACTTCAGATTTTCTTATCCACATCTCAACCGTAGGATTCTTATCTAAAGATCAATGGCTAAGATTAAAAGGTTCAGATTTTCTTATCCACATCTCAACCGTAGGATTCTTATTTATGAAAATCAAGATTAAACGGCTCAGATTAAGAGTTGTAGATTTCTATATCTCTATTTATACATAGTTCTTCACAGAAATTATTCATTCGTAAACTCTTGCATTTTCCAGAAAAATATGAATCCCAATCACATTGGTACTTCTTATGCATTTTCTTCTTCAAGTTCATCTGATGATAAACTTGAACAACTACTAGATAGTTATGATACAGAGCAACATCTGATAGCACAACAAATTTACAACAATAATATTCTTGTGCAAGAATTTCTTAGAACTCAATAAGACGGTCAAAGCCATGGAGGTTCAGTTCCTGGTCGAAAAACAATATTTCGCGATCGAGAAGCAGCTGCAAATCGTTTTTTTAACGGTTATTTTTCTGAAAACCCAAAATTTAATGAAGCCATGTTTCGTAGACGTTTTCGAATGTCTAGAAATTTATTTTTTCGTATAGCAAATGCAGTTAAAAGTCATGATGATTATTTTTTGCAGCAAAGAGATGCAGTTGGTAGACTCGGATTGTCTACCTATCAAAAGTTAACTGCTGCGCTTCGGATAATAGCATACGCTGTACCAGCAGATGCGACAGATGAATACATAAATATTGGAGAGTCCACCGCAATTGAATGCGTGAAGAAATTTTGTCGTGCTGTTGTAGAGATATTCGGAGCGCAATATCTACGTTCTCCCAACGCCAATGACATTGCTAGACTCCTTTATATCGGTAAGCAACGTGGCTTTCCAGGAATGTTAGGTAGTCTGGATTGTATGCATTGGCGTTGGAGAAATTGTCCAACAGCTTGGGCAGGTGCATATACAGGACGTAGTAAATCTCCAACTATTATTCTAGAAATTATAGCTGATTATGATCTTTGGATATGGCATGCATACTTTGGTATGCCTGGATCCAACAATGATATTAATGTGTTAGAGAGGTCTCATTTATTTTCTGACCTTACTCGAGGAATTGCCCCTCCCGCACATTATGTCATTCAAGGTAAAGAGTACAACATGGGGTATTATTTAGCAGATAATATATATCCCAAATGGGCAACTCTTGTCCAAACTATTCGTAACCCACGGAGTCAGAAAAAAAAAATATTTTGCAATGAAACAAGAAGCATGCAGAAAGGATGTGGAGCGTGCATTTGGAGTACTCCAAAGTCAATTTGCTATTGTGGCTAATCCTGCACGATTTTGGAGTAAAAATGACTTACAAGATATAATGACTGCATGTATTATTTTGCATAATATGATAATTGAGGATGAACGAGATCTTTCTGCACCGATTGAAGCTGCGATAGAAGCCCCAATCCCTGATGTTGAAACAGTTGGTACTGAAGCTTCTCAGTTCCAAGCATTTGTTGCTCGATACAGACAAATTCGAGATAGAGAAGCTCATATCAACCTTCGTAATGCATTGATTGAGAATTTATGGGAGGAATTTTCTAATTCAGAAAATTAGTTGTAATGTTATTGTAATCGTTGCTTGTAATGCTTTTTTATTTTTTTCATTGTATTATGTAATTTGTATCCTTTTGTTTGAACTCATGAAGCAATCTCGTGTTGTTATACATAATTTTTTTTTATTTACTATTTGGGTAATAAACATTTATATAATATTACATATTCATATATATAGCAAATTATTCGAAATAAAAATAAATAAAATATATTTTTATTATTTGAGTAATTAACATTTTATATAAGATTAAATATACATATATACCAATTTATTTGAAATAAAAAATGAATAAAAAAATAATATATTTAATGTAGAGTAAAATGTAGAGATAAGGGCTGGAGATGAATGTTCAACTCTACTCTAGAGTAGAGTAAAGTCCGCGCTAGAGTAGAGATAAGGGCTGGAGATGGCCTAAAAAAGATGAAGAGAATAGGAAAAGACGTAGTGTATTTATTAACTAAATGAGGGTTATAATGGAAAAATATGTACAAAAGATCCAAAACGACATTTATTTTGGTTAATAGTTGATAAAACTAAAATGACATTTAAAAAGAATAAGAGGTAGTATTAGTTTAGCCGATTTGGAAACAAATATATTACACGCACACACGAGGTGTTACTCGCGGTTAGACATGACCACAAGTCAGTCCGGAACCGACACGGAACCTGCCCGCAGTCAACGGACTACGGATTAATATATAAATTTTTTAATTGTATAAACGTTAATTTTTATTTCTCAAATGAAGAATTGGTAATACGGGTAACCACTCTCAACCCGACTAAGTTCGATATAAGGATTGGTACAAGGCGTGGACTAAGTTATTTGCGCCGATTTATACAATTAAATTGGGACGGGAGTTCTAAGGATTATGCAATTTAATCAATTGGGCCGAGCATAGGGTCTTAGGGCCAAGAATACTACTTAGGCAAATCTGAAAATAACACTTAGCACCAAAATTCACTTAGGTTTCGTTTGTTTTGAGGGATTTGAAATCCCTTAATTTCAAAATTTTTGAAATATAAATTTTTTTACTTGAACACTCATTGAATGGATGTGTTGAAAATATTATAAATCAATTGTCTAGCTCGCACCGATGGTGTTGACTCGCGGTGGTGATGAACTTAAATGATCGCGGACGGCTTGGTCGTTAACGGTGATAAACAGTGGATTCAAATGATTATGTTTGAGGAGTCATTTCAAATCCTTCAAAATAATACCAAAAAAACATTTAGCATAAATTTGAAATTCTCCAACTTCCATTATCATCCCAACATACATGAGCATTTGAACTTGTAAATTTGAAATCTATGGATTTCAAATCCCTCAGTAAAACTCTCAAAACAAACGGAGCTTTAGGAAAAATAAAATAAGATAAACAATTAATACACTTAGGAAAAACAATAACAATTTAAGCACTTAGGAACAATTTTAAATAAGCAAGAGCACAAAAATATGAAATAAGAAGACGAGGACATCATCTTAAATCTTGATTTTTGATTAGATAAATTAATTAGGAAGATTAAATAGACGAGAACATCTATTTAATTCTAATAAGCTTAACAAGAAAAAATTGTCGAGCACTACGACTAAAATAAAAGCGAATCGAATAAATAAATAATATAGAATATGCTAACTCATCTAAAACAAATGGGGCACTACGACACTTATTTACGATATTGCTATTGACTGTTTGACCATTTTTTAATAGATTTGACTTCATCGTGACCATTGATATGTTGGATCCAATGGTACAGATTTATTCTTATTTCTTTCACTATCTACCATTCTCATATGATACATAGATAGATAGATAAATATAAATAGATAATATAATAGTATAGATAGATATAAATAGATATGTTGTCCAAACAAAATATTTGTAACAGACCATTGTTACGAACCGCATGACAAAAATATATAATGCTTCAAATTCTAAATATGTTTATGCATTTTATGTACACAGAGTTAAATCCGGAAATATGCATATATAGTAAATCGCGCGAGTAAATAAGCCGGTATTAGTTAAGCGATTATTTCATCTGTTGAGCACTCCCTAATTCTGATCTCTGCCTCAACGCTGTAGACTCGAATAATGTCGCAACACTCACATCTATCCACCTGAGACCAATAAGCAGCCAAAAATAGCTCACACATTAAATATCACAAGAATTTTTTGTTCATTTGTAAATTGATGAAAAAATGACCAATTCACTCGACCATTGTATTTATTGAAATTTAGAAACTAACCCGAGTCCGTTTAACGGCAGGCGAGAAGACTTGAATCCGCTGCACGTAATCCGCCGAACGATTGGCCGTGGATGAGCAGGCCGGCATGCCACGTGGCCACGCTCGGGAATAGCTGGTGAGAACCTCATCATGTGGGCCCTGCATCACCCACTCGAAGAAGAAGACGTGGGGAGCCACGCAGGGGTCCCGCGAGCGTGGCTTGTGTTGAACAAGTAGAACGGGGGCTTTGGGCCCGCTAGCCACGGCCCAAATGTCTCAATGGGCCTTTAAAGGTAGCTCCTGGGGAAGATGCTCTCGTATATGTGGGCCGAGTAGCCCCAGGAGACGGAGAAGGTCCAGTTAGTCAACCTGTTGTGGCAAATAGTTTGCTGGAGGAGGCGGGACTGCCCGGCGCCAGCTGCCTTCATGAGGTGGCGTGTGGACAGGTGGCGGTCCATGTTGGGGAAGATGGGGCCCACCTTGTCAAAGTGGTGGAGGGATAAGAGTGGGGACAGGGAGTGGGATGATAACACGCCAGATATATCGCCACGTAAATCGACCTTCAACATATATATACATGAATGTGCTTTTTTTAATGTTAGTCTAATACTCGTGAATATCATCTCTACTTATTTGTACCAAAGATTAAAAGCAAATTGCAATTTTAGTCTTGTTGGTTTGATCTAGTAGCGTTTTTAGTCTTAATAATTGAATATTTTGCTACTTTGTCCTATAATTTTAAAATTCAATGCAATTTCAGTCCTTTGGGACTGAAATTGTAACAAAATTTAAAATTACAAGACTGAAATTTCTAATATTGATATTTTATTAGCAATTTAAGTCCTGTAATTTTAAATTTTGTTGCAATTTCAGTCTTTTGGGACTGAAATTGTAGCAAAATGCTAAATTACAGGATTAAAAGACATAAAATTAAAATCTTGGAATTAAAAATGCTATGGCGTTAAACGAACATGACTAAAAACGCAATTTTGCCAAGATTAAAAGTGTCTACTGTCTGTTTGAAATGATATGAATTGATCAATTCCAGAATGCATGTTTTCGGAATCAAGTAAGGGTTTTGATTATATATAATTTCGAATCGGAAGATTATTCTTACTATATGGATGAAGACTTTGTCTATGCCAGGCAAACAAGCACTCTTTAGTCTTAGTCTATGGAAAAATATCACTTTTCACAGAAGTCCCCCTGCTTGTCCTTTTCAGTTTGGAAGATAATTGTGGACTATTGTCTAGCTATCTAAACACTATAATAACTTCAAGAACCGAAAATTTGAAGCAATCAAAATATAGTCACCTGGTGATTTCCATTGTTTGGAGATAGGTTAGCACCAATGTCAGCAATACAGGCCCTGGTGGTGTTATCAGCGGAGTTCAAAAACACGTACCTCTTGAGACAACTTGCCATGTCCCGAGCCAGGGCTTTCGCCAGCTTTCGGCTCAGAATTATCCCACCCCCACCAAAAGCCTGGTCGAACAAAAACAGATAATTCGACACTATACTCTCCGAATTCCCACCGAGATAGTAATACCTCTCGTGGTCGTACTTACTAAGCACGTCGACCATATTGTCAACGAAGAAAATCGAGTCATCATCCCCCATCACCACCCATCTGAAATCGTCTTCTTTATCATCAACTAATTCTACCTCCCTCACGACTTTCATTATCCCGTGCACCATCCTCTGGGCCCGGATATTGGTCTTGTTGAGTAATTTTGTTAAATCGTCCGAGACGCGGTAGGGAGGGAAAGTATCGGCGGGCCAGGGCAGGAGGTTGGGCCCCGGGGGTTTGTCGAGGAAGAGGAAGCCACAGGTGGAGTTGGGCCGCCACCATGACTCGATGTACCATTTTCGGTTGGGCCAGGCCTTTTCGGAGGCGAGCAAGCCGAACACGAGGTGGCTGAGATTGGTCGGCATAGTTTTGGGGCGGCCTGTTGGGGAGAATTGGAAAGGTAGGGAGATGAGGTTGTTGTTTGGGTATGAAATGGTGATGAAGCCAAGGGCAGTACCCTTGTTGTCATTTATTGGAGGCTAGAGGTTATATCTGTGCTTGACTGATTCTCATCAACCTATATATATATATATATATTAGATCCGGGTATAAAAAGTACACGGGAATCATACGAACTGATATGAATTTTTTCAGTTCTTACAAATAATCTAAAAATAGAAAATTACAATTGAACTGAAAAAAAAAATACAAATGAAAAATAAATTAAAACTTAAAAACACAAACGGAAAGATTTTAGCCGAGGCGAGTAAAACTCTTTCCGCAAGAAGAATACGCCCCGTGTGGCAGCTAACGGTTCTGGCGTAACTTCCCCAAAGATACAACGACAAACGTCTCTAAATCTGTAGCACACCAGATTTATGAGCTCCGGCGAACTGGAACAGAGTTGAGAATTGAGCACTTAAAAATAGAAATAAAATTATATCTATTTTTATTACAATTTTTTTTCTCTTTCCCTTCTTTTTACTTCCTTTCTTTCTTGTGTTTTCGTATCTTTGCTGATTTTAGTCCTCCCATATTTATAAATGTAGTGGATCAAGGTGAAGACTTTTCACACGCATAACAATCATGAATTTGTTGAGAAAATAAGTTGTAAGATGCCATTAGTTGGAAGATGCCATTAGTTGGAAAATGACATTATTTGACAATCACATGTGATGACTAGTTGTGGATTAAAATAATCACAAACACTTTTATACTCAACTAATCAATAACAATACCCCACATGAGTGTAAAATAAATATATATTAAATATTTTGTTCAATCCTCACAAAACTCTATTGCATCAGAGAAGGTAGCTTTTGGCTTTGAACCTTTCTTAGTAAACATCATCGGATGCACTGGTGGCCTAGTGGACATAATGCCTTGAACTATTCCTCCACAGTGTACACCAAGACAATGACATTTACACAATAGATTCTTAATTCCATTCTGTTCTATCGTTGTGTCCGTTTTGGCCATGGACAACACTTTGGATTCATAAGTGTTTACATTTGAAGCGGCCCACACTTCACACTTATATAGGTGACCTCCCTATCAAGAGTATCATGTATTACTCCACCTTTACAAGGTTAGGGATTCATTAAAAGTTCACATGACTTATCCTCACCAAAATCAACATGTCATCTTGCACTTGGAGTGCTCTAGGGAATAGCTTAGGACATTCATATGTTCCAAGTGCTCAACTGAATTTTCATAGCTTAGTTTTCCCTTTGAACCAAGTTCGTGGGATCTCCACTTAGCATGGTAGGGTTACCACTATGATCATTCTTTACATTGTGGATTTTTAAGCCCATTCTCTCTAGCAAAACTACCAATTGATCTCTATTCAATCCTTTCGTCAAAGGATCAGCCAAATTTTCCTTAGACTTCACATAGTCAATGGAAATAACACCATTGGTGATCAATTGTCGTACGGTATCATGTCTACGACGAATATGTCTAGACTTACCGTTATACAAGTTGTTTTGTGCCCTTCCTATAGCAGCTTGGCTATCACAGTGAATCATCACACGCGGCAAAGTCTTATCCCAACATGGAATATCAGATAAAAAATTTCTAAGCCACTCGGCTTCTTCACCAGCTTTATCTAAAGCGATGAACTCCGATTCCATCGTTGACCGACCTATACACGTTTGTTTTGTGGATTTCCACGAAACTGCACCTCCTCCAATACAGAAAACATATCTGCTAGTGGAGCGAGAATCTTTCGATTCTGATAACCAGCTTGCATCACAGTACCCTTCAAGTACAGCTGGGTATCTCGAGTATTTTAGCCCGTATTCAAGGGTGTACCTCAAGTACTTAAGTACCCTTCTCAAAGCATTCCAGTGCTCATGACTGGGATTGTTCGTAAATCTGCTCAACTTATTCACCGGGTAGGCCAAGTATGGTCGTGTACAATTCGTCAAGTACATCAGACTCCCTATTATCCGTGAATATTCTAACTGAGCCACTGGTTGACCTTTATTGGCTACCAAATTTATACTAAGATCAATGGGTGTCTTACACCTAGACTGTGCACCGTCATAGGCATTAAATTTCTTGAGCACTTTCTCTACATAATGAGATTGAGACAAGACAATTCCATCTTGGGTTCTGATAATCCTTATTCCAAGAATAACATCAGCCAAATCCATATCTTTCATGTCGAAATTTCTCTTCAACATTCTTTTCGTATCCATGATCACTTCATGGCTACTCCCCATGATCAACATATCGTCTACATATAGACATACAATCACAAATGCATTTGATGTACTCTTGACATAAACACATTTGTCACATTCGTTGATTTTGAACTCATTTGATAACATTACGTCATCAAATTTCAAATGCCATTGTTTCGGAGCTTTTTTCAGTCCGTACAAAGATTTGATCAATCTACACACTTTTTTCTCTTGTCCAGGTGCAACAAACCCTTCAGGTTGTTCCATGTATATTTCTTCTTCCAATTCACCATTCAAAAATGCCATCTTGACATCCATTTGGTGAATCTCAAGATTGTGCAAACAACAATCGAGAGAAGCACTCTTATCGACGCTAAACGCGTAACTGGTGAATAGGTATCAAATAAATCATACCCTTCATTTTGTTTAAAGCCTTTGACCACCAATCGTGCTTTAAACTTATCAATTGATCCATCAGCTTTATATTTCTTCTTTAGGATCCACTTGCATCCTAAAGGTTTACAACCATCAGGGAGATCAACCAACTCCCAAGTATGGTTCTGCATAATGGACTCGATTTCGCTATTTACAGCTTCTTCCCAGAGTGGTCCATCTGGGCTGGACAGAGCTTCCTTAAAGGAACTCGGTTCATCGTCCAACATGTACGTAATAAAATCAGGTCCAAACGTTTTTGCCATGTTTACCCTTTTACTACGTCTCGGTTCTTCAGCAGTACCCTCTGGTACAGAACCACTAGATTCTGCTCTTTCCTTCAGAGGAAAAATATTCTCGAAGAATATAGCATTCCCCGACTCAATCGTGGTACCAACAGATACCTCTGGATTTTCTGATTTATGAACCAGAAATCTATATGTTGTACTATTGTACGCATATCCAATAAATACACAATCGATCGTCTTTGGCCCAATTCTCATTTGTTTGGGTTCCGGTACTGAAACCTTAGCCAAACACCCCCACACTTTCAGGTATTTATAAGACGGCTTACAATTTTTCCACATTTCGTAAGGAGTCTCATCTTTCCCTTTAGGTGGTATTTTATTCAGGATATGATTTGTTGTTAAAACAGCTTCCCCCCACATGTTCTGTGGTAATCCTGAATTTATCAACATGGCATTCATCATTTCTTTTAACGTACGGTTCTTGCGTTCAGCAACACCGTTCGACTGTAGAGAATAACAGGCTGTCGTTTGATGGATTATGCCATATTCAGAACATATTTGTTCAAAAGGAGATACATACTCCCCACCCCTATCACTTCAGATTATTTTAATCCTTTTGCCGAGTTGATTTTCAACTTCGATCTTATAGATTTTAAATGCTTCCATATCCTCGTCTTTGCTTCTTAATAAATATAAGTAGCAAAACCTTGTGCAATCATCGATAAAAGTGATAAAATACTTTTTACCCGTTCTTGTTTGCACACTTTTCATATCACATACATCAGTATGGATTAAGCCTAATGGTTCAGTACTCCTTTCCACCGAGTGAAAAGGCAATTTAGCCATTTTTGCTTCAATACAAATTTCACATTTTGTATTTGTCTCAAATTTAGATTTGGGAATTAATTCTAAATTCATCAACCGTTTAATTTCATTTAGATTTACATGCCCCAATCTAATATGCCATAAATTAGAGTACTCAATGGTATAAACAGAAATAGGCTTTTCATTATCATTTAAAATGGTTACACGGCTCACGGCCATTACATTCATTTTGAACATACCCTAGTCGAGATAGCCACGACCAAGGAAAGTTCCAAACTTACTAAGAACAAATTTCTTAGCATCAAATACTAGCTTAAATCCATGCTCAACAAGAAGAGATCCGGAGACCAAATTCTTGCGGATGTCTGGGACATGTAGAACATCCTTAAGCTTCAACTCCTTTCCAGAAGTCAGCTTCAGCACCACTGTGCCCACTCCAGCCACATCAGCCGTGGCGGAGTTTGCCATGTAAAGTTTCCGACTCTTAGCAGGATTGTATTCAAAGAACACCTCCTTATCAGAACACACATGACGAGTAGCACCAGTATCGATGTACCACTCCCTTGGGTTATCCACCATATTGGCTTCAAACACCACGGCCGACATGTCAAAGTCGGTCAGTTCACCCTGCATATGGTCGTGTTCAGCCACAAGGGCATTCGGTTTACCTTTCTTTGGTCCAGCCTTCTTTGGCCTCTTGCAGTCTTTAGCCATATGGTTTGGCTTTCCACAGTTGTAGCATGTTCCAGTAAACTTCCAAACTTTGGCAGGCTGTTTCCCTTTGTCAAGGGACTTCCTCTTGCTCGAGTGGCCTTGCTCCAACATGTTAGCACGAGCCTCTATCATTGGAGTCTTCGCCGATGAATTACGGTTGTCCTCTTCAATACGAAGACGAACAACTAGGTCTTCAAGACTCATCTCCTTCCTCTTATGTTTGAGGTAGTTCTTGAAGTCTTTCCAACCCGGTGGCAGCTTTTCAATCACAGCCGCAACTTGGAATGACTCGCTTAGAGACATTCCTTCAGCATGGATATCGTGCAAGATAAGTTGAAGCTCTTGCACTTGGGACAAGACGGTCTTAGACTCGACCATCTTGAAGTCAAGAAACTTGCCGACGGCGAATTTCTTCGCCCCGGCATCTACAGTCTTGTACTTCTTCTCCAAAGCAGCCCAAAGCTCTTTGGCAGAACCAACCGAGCTGTACACATTGTACAACTCATTACTAAGTCCATTCAGGACATAGTTACGGCAAAGGTAATCACCTTGCCCCCAAGCTTCGTACGCAGTGCGTAGTTCAGCATTTGTCTCATTTTCAGCAATAACCGGGGGGTCGTCCTTCAGGTATTTCACC